GTCTCTTGTCTCTCCCAACATTGTTTTCCACCATGAAGAAGCAGTTTTAATATTGATGAAACCCAGTTTGTCTATTATTTCTTTCATGAACTGTGCTTTTCTTTGGTTTTGTATATAAAAGAATTATTCAATCCATACAACCTAATGGACTAATAGTGCTAATTGAGTTCAAACATATCCTGGTTGATATTCTGCCTGGTGAACTGTTTCTCACCGAAGGTATTAGAATCTCCCACTGTGATAGTGGAGTCACGTATTTCTTTTTTTCCTTTTTAAAAAATCATCATATGTTTTCATATAATGTAATTTGATCATACTGTTATCCTTTCGTTGTCATCTCCTCTCAGTTCATATTTTTTCCTTGCAGTTCTAACTCTCTTTGTCACATGTAGGTTGACATGCTATTGTTAGCTGCATATATGTTAAGGACTGCTGTCCTTTTGAAGGGTTAATCCTGTGTAATTATGTAATGATTTTCTCACTCCTAACAATATTCCTTGTTTTAAAGACTGCTCTGCTTAGGGTTAAAAATAGATATTTTTGCTTTCTTTTAATGAGTGTTAACATGATGTATTCTTTTCCCATTTACTTGTAATCTACGTATCTTTAAACTAAAGTGGACTTATGATCAACATATATATTGTTAAATATATTTTTGATCCACTTTGATATTTTGCCTTTTTAAAAACATTTATCCATTATTGTATGTTGGAGGTGTATGTGTTGTAACACATGTATGGGTGTATATGCTCTAACATGTTTCTGAAAACCAGAGGACAACTTGCAGAGGTTGATTCTTTGAGTTTCAGGAAATCAAACTCAGGTTATCAGGTGGTAAGAACTTTTACCTGAGGAGACCCTCCCAGGTCCCAATCTCTGTCATTTTATTGGTCCATTTAGATTATAGACATACAAAGTGTTTGTTGATCCAGTTGGATTTATATCTACTATATTTGTTACTATTTTCTATCCATCAACCTTGTCCTTTGCTCTTTTTTGTTTTCTACTAGTTGTCTGCCTTTTATCATTTTATTTGAGATTTAAAAATATAAGTTTTAGGACTGCAGAGATGGCTGAGCAGTTAACTCAGAGGTCCTGAGTTCAATTCCCAGAAATCACATGGTGGCTCACAACCATCGTCATGAGGACTGGTGGCTTCTTCTGGCCTGCAGGCATGCATGCAGGCAGAGCACTGTATACACAATAAGCAAAGAAGTCTTACAAAATATTGATTTTATTTTATGTACAAGTATTTTGCCTGTATGTATGTGTACTGCATATATATCTGATATCTGAGGAGGCCAGAAGAGGGCGCCAGACTCCCTAGAACTGGAGTTACAGGAGGCTGTGAACCTCCATACGGGTGCCGTGAGCTGGACCCAAGTGTTTCATCGGCAAGATCAGCCTTCACTCTTAACCGCTGACCCATCTCTCCAGCCACATCACTTAAACATTTAGAGACTCTTCCCTCCCCGCCCCCATTTTCCATGGAGTTTATGATAAACATTTATAACTGCTCCGAGTCCATTTTCAACGTCTCCATGAATCATGGTTAGCATATTTATTGCCTTACGACAACTAAGTCCTATTGCTTCTTTCCTGTTCCTGTACCACTGGAGTACACAGACCCACAGGGTCCAAGCCATTGGGATTCTTGTATTTAATCTCATATTACATGTTTCAGTTCGTGTGTGTGCGTGTGAGTGTGTGTGTGTGTGTGTGTGTGTGTGTGTGTGTGTGTTTGCATGCATGAGCACATTCCATTCCACAGCCTGTCAGAGCATGTGTGAGAGTTGGTTTTCTCCTTCCATCCTGTAGGTCCAAGGATCAAATTCAGGTCATCATGGCAGAATGTGCTTTCTCTGCTGGGACATCTACCTAACACCTTAGATTGTTTATTTTTTCTTTCTGTGAGGTTCAAATGTATGCATGCTTATGTGTAGTTTGAGACACTTATGCTTTATGGTACTTCCTGGGCTCTGTGGATCTCTGCTGTAATGTCTGGATGTGGGGGACACTGTCCCTTATTTTTCCTTCTTATAGATCTTTTCCTTTCTTTTTTGTCCTTTGGTGTTCCCACTACTGGCACATTGCACCTCTGTATTCATACCTCTGCATTTGGACATTCAGGTTTGTTGTTATTTTTTTGTTAGGCCTCTGTTCTCTTTGATTTCAGTTTCAGAAGTTGCTATGGTTTGCCTCCATGTGTGTCTCTGGTTCATGCTAAAGCTTAATCCTCCCCGTGGTGGTATTAGGAAGTGGGGCCTTTGGGGAAGTGATTACATCATGATGTCTCTTTCCTCATTAATGAAAGTAAAGCAGTTATGAAACAGTCGTCAGAAATCTGCCTGCCCCTTCTGTTATCCCATTAAAGCTGTCATCTTGGAAGCCACTCTTCACAAACACTAAGTAATCCAGATCCTTGATCATCTTGGATGTGTAGCCTCTTGAACTGTAAGAAATAATTGCCTACTGTTTATAAGTTGTCTATCCCGGGGTGTTATGTTACACCATAAAGAGCAGACCAATACAGGCTTGATCAGTGCACCCTTAGGTTTGTCTTCCATCTGCAGCAGAAGCCCATCAGAGGAAGGGTGCCAGGCAGACCAGGAGGGAGAAGAGCAATTTCCAACAGAAGGATGAGTGAGCTATGGTGGTGCTTGCTGAAGAGGGGGAGCAGGTTGGGATGGGCACTCAGGTCCCAAAGTACCTACTGAGTCTCCAGAGGTGGCATTCTCTTTTCTCTGTTTCATCAAACCTTCTTCATTTCAAGAGATTCTTAATCTAGCTCTAACTACTTGAAAAGCTGAGATCTCCATTCTTCACATGGAACATGGGTTAGCTTTTATTCAAACTCTTGTGCCTGAGGTGGAGGAGAGGGATCTCTGTCCTTCACCACTCCCCATCACCCTTCTCCCACCTACTTGTATCTGTCCTCATCACAGTCACATTTCGCCCCGTGCTGTTTGTCAACTTGACATAACCATAGACATATCTAGGAAGAGGAAATGAAGGAATGCCTCCATAAGATTGCCTGTAGGCAGGTCTGTCGAACATGTTCTTGATTAATGATTGATGCGGGAGGGCCGAAGGAGCCACCCACTGTGGGTGGTGCCATCTTTGGGCCGGTGGTCTTGAGTTGTATAAGAAAGCAGGCTGACCAAGCCATGGGGAGCAAGGCTAGCTTCCTTACTTCTCATTGCTCTCAGAGAACTCTCTCTCTCTCTCCATCTCCCTCTCTCTCTCTTCCTCTCTCTCTCCCCTTCTATAAGAAGAGTATCATGGCCTTCTGGTTTCTTGTTGCTCGTGCTGCCACACTGGATGCTCAGGCTCATCCCACGGCACCTCTTCCACCTGCTCTGATCGTGACTGTTCACTGTGCCACTATCAACCTATAGTAAAGGTCTCTCACTAAGAAACCAGAGTCACTGAATGTTGTTCCTCCTGAGTGATCTTAGAGACCAGCCCTGTGGGCATTTTGTCACCTGCACTTATGTGAGTGACCAGCCTCTGCACCCAACACACAGTAAAACAAAGTACTTTTGAAATGGTCCCTGCAGCAGGAGCAGGCTGACTGAGCAAATGAGACTTAGCAAGCTGGATGGTGCTTGGGAGCACTGGCTTATGGCACAAATACACAAAGCTTTGAAATGCCCCGGAAGCCTATGCTTGGGGTTTTTGGAGAACCTGATATGGCCACCAGCAGAGCCAGTAGGCTGAGGATCCACAAGCCTGACACAAAGGTGACTGTGCTAATGTATGACAGAACAAACCATTATGTAAGGAAGCTAGCTCAGGCCCTGAAAGAGCTGGGGATGAGTGCTCCAGGAGGTCCCCTGGGTCAGTGAGGTGGGGCGTCAAGTGAGCCTGTCGATGAGTTGACCTCTTAGGGTGTCACCTCAAACTTCAGAAGGAAAAAGGGTTGACTGTCCTTGGGGCAATCACTGAAAATTACTAAAGGGGGTCACCCTATTCCTGGTCTCCAGATCCAAGGACACCCTCCCTCCAGTGTTTCCAACAGAACTGATGGGATGTCATTAGCAGATGAGCCCAATAGGAAGGCAGGGCTCCTTCATGACATCCTTTCTTCTTCTTCTTCTTTTTTTTTTAAAAAGATCTATTTATTCATGTACTTTAATGTAATTTCATGTACCTGCATGACAGAAGAAAGCACCAGAGAGAGGAGGAGATCAGACCCCACTATGGATGGCTGTGAACCCTCATATGGCTGCTGGGAATTGAGCCAGGACCTCTGGCAGAGTAGCCAGTGCTCTTAACCTCTGAGCCATCTCTCCAGCCCCTCTTCATGACATTCTTAAGCAACATCCACATCCCTGTTCAAGGAGTGGAAAGAGCACTTGTCCTGCCGCTCCAGGTGCAGGCAGGTTTAGTTTCCTCTGGCGCATATAGTGTGGACCAGGAATGGGCACACAGGCAGGTGTCTCTGTCCTGAGGCGACTGCAAGTATTCTGAGGAGAGCCTAGTCCTTTAGGAACACATAGTGTGTTTGGGGATGGAAAGGTCTTGAATCTGAGAGTGTGGAGATCTTGTTCACTGGTGACACAATGACGAGCCCTGTTAAGAACTGTCAGTCCAGGGCTGGAGAGATGCTTAGCAAGGTTAAGAGCATTGGCCGCTCTTCCAGAGAATCTGCGTTTGAATCCCAGCACCCAAAACTGTAACTTCAATTCCAAGGCATCTTCTTCTGGCCTCCATGGGCACCAGGTACACAAGTGGTTCACAGACACACACAAAGAAAAAGCAAGTGTCATTCTGACCACATGAACCCATGCCCTACTTTCCTGATCTCTGATGGGCACCCCAAAGACTCGCATGAGGCTGGCATGTCTACCTACTTCAAGCCCTACTTCCTTAGTCTCTGCTGGGTACCCCAAAGCCCAGCATGAGGCTAGCCTGTGTCTTCTGGGTTCATGTCCTACTTCCCTGGTCTTGGCTGGGCACCTCAAAGTCCAGCATGAGGCTAGCCCGTGTTTTCCTACCTTTTTCCTGTGGTCTTGATAGGTTTTCTCCCAGGCTCTCTGCAGGTCCCTATTAGCCCAGGGGGTGATCATCTGGGGGGCTCTGCTCATCTCAGATCACAAGCTCCAGGCTCCCTTCAGAGGGAAGCAGGCTGAACCGATGAGCCCCAGCAGAACTGTTTATGGGGTCATGTGACTGTTGCCATGGCGTCCAGGCCTGGGGAGAGCCCAATTCTGCCTGTAGAGGCTTTGGAACAATGGATGAGAACTAAGAGAAGGATAGACTCTCTTTCCACTTCTGTGGTTGTCTTGGGATCTTGATGAGATCACTTTTGTTTTGATGAGAGCAAGTCAGCTCCCAGCTCCAGAAGAAAATGTGAAGAAAGAGGCCAAAGGCCATGTCTGCCACCAGAACTGAGGGCAGTGGACCAGCCCCCTCTCTCACACTGCAGTCCTGACCCCCTGCCACCTCCCACTCCCTCCATTCCTTTCCTCTGCTAATCTCCGTGTTTCTCTGGGAAAGAAACACTTTTGGTCCTGTCATGGAATCATTTATAACAATTTATAGCAATCATTTATAACTGTTCTTTTCTTCCTTTCTTTTTCCTTTCCTTTCTTTCTTTTTTTTTTTTTTCTTCTTCTTCTTCTTCTTCTTCTTCTTCTTCTTCTTCTTCTTCTTCTTCTTCTTCTTCTTCTTCTTCTTCTTCTTCTTCTTCTTCTTTTTTGGTCTATGGCCAATTTTGTGTGTTTCTTTGTTTTGTTTTCTCTCCAGTTGACTTGAGGCACAGTTATAGAAGGTTTTGGTGACTTTAAACTATTGATTTTGTTTTCTGGTTTTCCAAGATAGGGTTTCTCTGTATTGCTTTGGGGTCTGTCCTGGAACTTGCTCTGTAGACCAGGCTGGCCTTGAACTCACAGAGATCCTCCTGCCTCTGCCTCCCAAGTGCTGGGATTAAAGGTGTGCACCAACAACGCCTGGTTAAGTTATTGGTTTTATAAAGTTCATTTTTATCACATTTGCTAATTAACATCAACAGGGGTGTGGGGTTGAGAGGATAGTTTGTGGTGTTTGGTTCTCAGCGATCAAACTCAGGCACCAGGTTTGGCGACCAGTGCCTTTTTACCTGTTGAGCCATCTCATAGGCCCTAAGTTATTATTATTTTTTTATCTGTCTTGGATTTTTCTTAGCAACCCAAAAGAGTGTCAAAAAGAGTGGCAATGTCATTTTTATTTCAGAATTCTGGGCTTTGTAACATTTAATATCCAGAACTTGGAATACAGACTTGGTAGACACCACTTCCTGTCCAGCTCTGGTTAAATGAAGGCTAGAATGGGCACATAGCAATACGATTCATGGGCCCTCAGTCTGTATAAAACTTGAGGCTGATGTAGGATATAAGATTTGAATGCTGCTGAAGCATGACCTTGCTCCTGATATGCTGTGAACAAATGGCTACACATTCACAAGTCCTTGTCATGATAAGTTCAGTTCCGGAAAAGATAGGCACACTTCTGCGGCCTTCTTTGGCAGGATTTCTCAGAGCCAGTGATGCCTATTTGCTGGGTCTCTGGAAGGCCTGGGCCCCTTGGACACCCGGGTCCAGCTCTGAGCAGCACACTGCACAATCCTCGAGAACACTCTCCTGGATATGTTGTTGTTGTCCAGGCACACCTTGGCCCCACCCCTTGGGAACTTGGCACAGTGTGCACCACTCTGCTCATGGCAAGCAGGACTCTGGCTCTACACAGAGCAGACACAGGAGGTCACTTTAGGAGATGGGCTCTGCCTACTCCCGCTCTCGCTTTCTATGGGTTCTCTGAGGCGTCAGACAGATCTTGTCTGCCTGTCTCTTCTCCTTTCTCTTCCCTCACTCTCTTCCCTTCCCCCAATAAAACTTCCTTCCCATGTATAAGTTCTGCGTGCCGGGTGTATTCATCCCTCACCCGCCATGGGATCCATCAAGGTCCTCCTCACACCACATATCATGACATATGTTCTGTTCTCCTATGAGCATATTTTTAATGAGCTCACCTAGAAGAGAGGGGCATAATGTACACAAGTGATTTGTATGGTTGTCTTGCTGCCAGGGGACCTGGAGTGCGATGTGGCAGGAGACGTGCAGACTGCATTGGACCGGCTGGGAAGGATGTACAGCGCCATCTGAGCAAGTGTAAAACCATCCTGTCTGAGGTACAGGTCCCAACCAGCCCAGAGTCATTGTGGAAAAGCTGACTTGAGCAGATGAGAGGGAAGTGGTTGCTGTTGTTTGAGATGGGGTCTCACTACATAGCCAGGGCTAGCCTGGAACTCATAGGTAGACCAGGCTAGTCTGGAACTCACAGAGATCCCCCTGCCTCTGCCTTCCAAAGTTCTGGGATTAAAGATGTGCATCACCACACCTGGAAACTGTGATTTTATTGTTAACCACATTTACATGACAATTCTTAAAAAAACTATTTGATGAACACATTCTCCGTCACACCATTTACAATCAGCCTTACCCCCAGACACCTCTCTATCCCTGAGCTTAAGTCATTCAAGTGACATGCAAGCTGTCACTGTACCGTGTCATAGGGCAGAGTTCTACCCTGCCATCCTGGTTCCCAGTTTCTAGTTATGGCCGTGGGTGCTCTGTGCCGCATTACCAACTCTCCTGGCTCTGGAAATCCCAGCACATCTGCGGAGTAGGGCACATGCAGGGAAAGCAGAGGACTGTGTCTAGGCCACTAAGGAACTGGGAAAGGTATCTGTTAGGGAGAATTCCCTTGTCCTTCATCATTCAAACCAGGCCAAGAAGGACAACAGGTTTGAACCCAGTTCACTTCTGCTGAAAAGCAGCAGACACCTACAACTTGGGCTGTTTTGCCAAGTGCTCACAGGCCATGGTGTAGGGGAGGCACGGTTCCAAGCCTAGCTCTGTATCCGTACTTTCTGCACAGTCTCCCTGCTGGGGATCTTTACCCCAATTTCTTCTATAGAATATGGAAAACTTCTAATGTGGTTTGATCAAGCCAGACCGCCTGAAACAGAGTACCAGGTGATCCTACATTCAAAACAGCTGGACAAAGCAGCCTTACAGACTACAGCCAGGATTTCTGCATCTTCTTAGAATCCCCCATAACAGCGCCCCTTATCAACAGGAAGTAGTTTGGAAAGAACGACACCAAATTCCCAAATATTGTCTATAAATGTTTTCATTTAAATGGACTTGGTTATACAAAATAAATAAATAAATAAAAAAGGAAAAAAAAGAATATGGAAGACTTTTGGAAATGAATAACAACAGGGGACTTTAAAGCACCACCCCAACACACACACACACACACCCTTATGTCACTGGCCCTCATCTGCAGGGGAGGATGTCTCCTGGATGCGAGGGTGGGCCAAATAGGATATCTTAACAGATACCCTTAACAGATTGACCAGAATACTGCTACTGCTCCTACTCCTTAAACTCAGCCTTCCTGACAAGAAAATTGAAACTCAGGAGGGCTGAGTATTTCTGGTGAACTCAAAAGTCCTTCAGCCTTCTAGAGGAGTGGCATCTGGGAAGAGAAATCACTGTTATGGTCTCAGACAAAGAAATCCCAGGATCAGGGGAGGATTTTCACAGGGCCATAGGGGCAGTGTTGTCTCTCAGGTGGCAATAGTCACAGGATGGCTCTATGTCTCAGAAGGAATTGTCACTAGATGGCTCTGCCTCTGGTGGCAACCATCACTGTAATCCCTTTATGTCCTAGAGGAAATTGTCTCCCAGTCTAGTGGTGACTAACCTGCAGGGGTGACTAGCTAACACCAGGCTACAAGTAGATTTCCTCACTGGGAGTCAGTGTGCCTGCAGTAGAGGCACAGCAACAGCACTGGGGATTCTCAGGAACCGCTTGGAGGCTCAGAATGCATATAAATTGTGCTGGGCCAATTTTACTCAAATTGGTGAGAATTAAATAATTTCTTCTTCCTGGGGCTCAAAACCCTTTATCAGCAGAGTGCTGGGGACCAGGTGCTCAGCTCAGTTTTGACTGACAGGCTAGAATGTATCTTGGTAGCTTGTAGGCAAAAATGTCCATATCTATATCCTACCCATCTTCTCTGACCTGATGCCCTTGGGGAAATCAGTCACCTTTGGGCCCTACTGTCCTTGCAAAGGACAAAAGAGACACCTCTTAGAGGTGCCAGGAGAACTGAATAAGATCAAAGATAGAAGCACATTTGAAGGGGAGTGCCCCCCAAAAATCTCAGGATCGAAGGAGGCAGGGCCTGGTTGCCATACACTTCCATTTTATCAATTCAGATTTTTGATGGACAAATTGCCACATCATTTTGGAACTTGGCTTAGTGTCAACTTAAGACTTGGGAACATGATATAGATGGGCTAAAATCAACTTTCTAATTCTACCTATTGCTGGCCCCACAAAACACAGATGCCCTTCCATCTAGATGGCCCTGACTGTTTGGAGACAGCTGTGGTATGCATCCTTCTCTGGTCTCCTCCCATGGGCTAAGGCAGTTGCTATCAACCTTCCTAAGACTGTGACCCTTTAATATGGTTCCTCCTGGTGTGGTGACCCCAACCATAAAATTATTTCACTGATACTTCATACCTGTAATTTTGCTACTGTTATGAACCATAATGTATATATCTGATATACAGGACCCATAGGTTGAGAAGCATTGGGCTATGTTGTCTCTCCCTTTAATTGTTCCTTGTGCAGTGAATGAAGTATGTTTTGAAGTAGATTCTTAAGCTGCAAAGGGTTTGTTTGGGGGGGTCTAATAATGTGCATCGACCTCTAGAAAGGAGCTTTTGTGTCCCAGAAGGCCACTCTGGGCATTATTTTCGTTTCCCTCTTACCTCATCCTACACAATGAACATTTTCATCAGTGAATGTAGTTAGTTCTGTGAACATGGACCAAGGGGGAAGAGGCTGAGAGGTACAAATAGACACCTAGCCCAGCCTTGCCTCATTTTCTGTAAGGAAAATATCCCACAAACAACGACTGTGAGATTGTCCTCAACCCTGCATAGCAGTTGGGAATGGCCTTCAGAGAACTGGGGTAAGAGGCCCAAGGAGCTCCAAGTGGCTCTCCTATATAGAAGATATAGAAGACACCCCATGCCCTTGAATTTGTCACAGACTACTACAGAATCATTCAGTTCTGTCTTGAGCAGCCTTGG